CCATTCATTTCAGACCTCGAGGATATCCAATCATTCTTGAGCTTGGTGGTATTCTTGGGTCATTTCTATTACAGGGGTATTTTGGTTATTGTACAGATTCAGTGTACTTTAATCATTTCCTTCCGTCTGATCTTACTATTAAATTCAATCTTATCATTTATTTCAGTCCTTTCGAACAATTCTGACAATAGAACACCCCCGACAAATTGTTCTTCAGGTATTTACTACTAATAACTCGGATATTTTCGGGTCAAGTGCCTTCTCAGATTTTATAAACGGAATATCAGGAATTTTCATGCACTAAGTCAGGATCTTAACAATTAAATCTGTACTTAATCGAGTTAAGTACGAATCCCCTAAGTATTTTCTCATTCAGACTATTCTATCTCTTAAGGGCATTTCCGTAATTTTTAACAAGATAATTTCGATATTAGCTCTTAACGAAAATAATATAATTCAGAGATCCTATAATTAATTGCTTTCTTGAACACTCTCTGATCTTGAAACGGTTCTCTTAACAGACTTCTAGTATCCTTCACAAACTCTCCTAGGATTAAAACCGGTTATCCATAATTTCCAAATAAAACTAACATTTCTTATGCACATCAGTAGTTATATCGGATCAATATGTCTTTTCAAAGTTATTAACCAACTTTTAGGAACAATTCTTGTTATCCTACAATATAAGGGTATTTTCGTAATTTTACCATACTAGAGTATTCTCATAATTTCTCATCCAAGTACCTTTAACATTTAACCTTTGATGAAATAAATTATAAGTTGCAGATACAGGGCTGATTTCTTTATCAATAATCACAAACTTGTAATTTAATCTAACAATTCCTCAATCTCTTATATTAGTCATTCGATCTGTAATCAGTTATCGAATTTCTACCACATTCATATCGAGTGTATAATTATTCAACTCCATAAAAGTGACCAACATTATCTTATTCATGCATTTACCAATATCAGCATGTTCCATAAAGCATAAAGAGGTAGTAAAGTATTATCTCGATTTTCGTGCAATACTGATCGACCATAAAAATTCCATTCGAACGCTTTTGATCTTCAATTCAACTTCCAATAATTCCTCAGATACATATCAACATAAATTATATTAGAAACGGAGCTTATTACATATTAACATAAATTATATCAGAAACAGAGCTTATTTGCGAAAAACAGATCGAATCGGGAGATAAATCAGTGAAAGACAGCTTACCGGGTTCGAATTTGGCGAAACGGACTTCGGATTCGGATTCAGGACGTCGAAAGCATTAAATATGACTTTTCGGAAATTTGGAAATTTCGGTCAAAATCAAAGTCAACGGGGTTTGACCGGTAATTTCGAGGCCTTCGGGTTCGAATTTCGAAAAACGAATAGCGAAATTGGATTTGGAACGTCGAAAAATGTCAAGATAGGTATACTCGGTCGAAGTCACAGGTCGTTTAATGCCCGGTCAAAGCCGGTCAAAATTTTGGTCAACAGTGGTCAACGCCGGTCAACGATCAACGGGTCGGGTCAACGGGTCGGGTTCGGGTCGGGTTATGACCGGTCAAACCGGTCAACTATGCACCAAAACCGGTCAAACCAGTCATTTGGACCATCCCCACGCGTAGTGGCGGCGCGTGGGGGGCGTGTGGATCCCCTTCCGGCTGTCTAAAAATCACGAAAAATTCTTAAAAATTATTTTGAGCGATTTCGAGATACTTACAAAGCTCGGTTCAAATTTTTGAACGGCGGAGAGCTCGATTTCAACTAATCAGAAACTTTGACAGCTTCACCTCTACACGCGCCTCCACCGCCGGAGAAAAGGGAGGACACCGGTGGACTCGGAACGGCACAAGGAACACGATGGTACGGGAGGTGTCGTAAACGGATGACCCGATCGTCGTGAATCGATAAAAAACCAACTAAAACTGAGTTATTACCGACGATACTTCCGACTGAAATTAACGACGAACGGAGATGATTCACGAGAAAAGGTTTGAGGGTTTTGTTCCTCGCTCGACAACGAACACGATGGTGGTTTCGGCTCGTCGATCGGAGGTCAGACGGCGAGTAGATCGGAGTTGAAAGTTGGTTGACCGGGAGAGAAAACTGGGAAAATAAACTGAAAGTGGGCACGGCAATTGGGATTTATAATTCATCCCATAATAAAAATGGGTAAACCATGAGTTTAGTCACTGAACTTCTTGTACTTATTAATATGGTCTGTAAACTTTGAAATTTTATAATTTAATCCCTAATTTCTTTCAAAAATATCAATTAAATCCACCAATTTATATTTTTGAAATTTAGCCCCTAAATCGGGGTGTTACATTTTTAATTAAAAATCCCAAAATATTTTTATAAAATTACGGTTATAGAAACGAATTCTAACTAATTTTACTTATTTGAAAAATCTAACTCGATTTCATGATTTGAATCGTTTTTCTTTATAAATTCCATGTCAGTTGACTAATAGTATTTTTTTTAATGGGATTAATGATGTGGATTAAATCATACATTAATAATAGATTATACTCATTGTGTCGTTTCAAATGAAGATGATATTATCCACCTCGTCGGTCTCTAAAAATGAAAATGTGGTCTAATCCAATTTCATGATTTGAATTTTAAATGGACGAAACATTCAATATATTAGGATCAGTTTAATTTTTATTTATTTAATAAATGAACGTTTAATATATCAACTTTAATGAATTAAAACATGGAATAATTATGGTAATCAAAGTCAATGGAATCCTTTTGGAAACAAGGGCAAGCTTTGTCTGGTTTGTAGCTGGACCCCTTGGATCATGCTATTAGCCCTTCGTCTTCTATCCCTAATCTATTAAATTCGATTTTTGTTCTTGGTAACTATTTATTTTTATGACTGTATTCATCCTGATTTTTTATTTATACTCATCGTACATATAAAGTTTTTGTGTTAATATAAACAAAATTATTGTCTGAATATTTTTGTGTTAAACCCTTGTTTGTTTGTGGGTGTAAATGAGATTTTGTCAGTGATTATGTCATTGGCAACTTGGGAATATTGCCTCGGGAATCAGTTCATTTAGATTAAATGATTAATTTAGACTTGTTGTGTGCAGTGGAAGTGAAGCATTCGGTGAATTGTTGAATGAAATACAGCTTGATGACGAACCGAGTGTTTCAAAAGAATTCCCATGTCCAAGTTAAGTGGATTTCAGGATATAGATTATAAAATTATTTCAAGTTTCAATAATGGTTGTCGCCAACACAAAAAAGGCTTCAATTATGAAAAAAAAAATTGTATCTAAGGAGTAGCCAATTATTGTTTGCGAAACACTATCTACGAAATATTTGATCCCATCATACAACACAAGTTCCTATAACAATATTATATATTACAAGCTAAGCAATCGTAGCCTGCTTGCAGTTTTTGTTTGGAATCATTTACAAACATACAACTCTATGTTTTAAAGTTTAATCGCTTGTATCAAATCTAATTAATTTCTTATTACTAAATTATTTGGTTCAACTCTCCATAAAATCAAATGGGCTTATTCATATTATTCAAACATTGATTTTTATAAAAATGTTTAAAATTACATAAAAAAACAATACCAAATAAAAATTTATTAACATGCTCTCCGTTCATTACTTCAATGAAATGATATCTAATAATACATAAATTATTCATACTCTCAAACTCTTAAAACATAAAATAATGCGTGTTTGAATATATTTTAATTTGGAGTTCTTTTAATTGTAACAACAATTACATCAATCAAGTTAAGATTCGGTTAACATAGATGATAATGTTTTTTTATATGTTTTAAGATGTTATTATAAAATTTAAGATATTTATTTGTTTTTTTATATTTATATCATTGGCAACATCATGTAATGTTTTAATAATTAGTTTATTTTTATATTATTTGTGGCCTCACTAGAATTATAAAATATAATGGGGGAGTGATTGAAATGAGAGGAGAGGATCGAAACACGAGACATGTAATCATATTCCTCATCTCCATCCTATTTTTCATTGGGAAGGCAAGGGATCTTGTGATTTTTTACACCAAATCCTTTGATTGCTCTTTTTTTTTAAATAAAAAAAAAACCTAGGAAAGGAGAAACATCGATAATGCTATTTTATGCACTCATATAAACAGGTGTGATAACTATTTTAATAATCACTGTTGTCTTATGAAGTTGCTTTAGCCACAGATCTGTTCTATTTCTCTGTATATCTTACCGAATATAAGCCTAACAAGCATGTCCATATATTATCCTTCAGGTTTCCTATGAAAGATATGAGATTTTTCACTGTTTGAAATTACAGTCTCCTATTATTATTGTTACAGACAAATAAAAAAAAAACAGATGAAACATGTCCGCCTCGATTACCAAAGATCTTGGCCACCAGTTGCTTGGTCGACTGCTAAAGCCTAATCTTCCATATTGTGCGGCAGGTTTGTTGGCCCCAACCCTTTTGATTTGCTTGCCAATGGCTTGTTTAGTAACATGGGGCTTGTCTTTTAAAATTACCCAAATATGTTCCCTCCCCCACCCCCAAACCAATATTATATTTCAATGCATTATTTAATATTAAAAGGTTTACCTTCAAATGATCTCATAAATGTTATTTTTTAGAGTTTATAGGTTAAAACAGCTTCACTTTGGTATATATATTATTAATTGGTTAAGAAAGTTATATATTATCAATTGATTAAAAAAATTAAAAATACAATACATTGTAATCAATCCTGACTAATAAAAAATATTAAAAAATTTAATAAGTAATTACTAATTGATTGATTTTTTTAACATATATTATTTATATTAATAAAAATAATCATCATTGTTTACAGATATATTTCTTTATTCCTCCCAGTTCCTTATCTATTAGCTGCCTCAAATAGTGTCTACACACACAGAGTCTCTTTGTAGTAATAAACCCATATTCTCTCTTTGAAAACAGCATCAACATCATCTCTGAAAGCGAAAAGGAAAAGGGTGTTCCATGGAACCAACGCAAAGGCAAAGCTCCCTATGGTCCTCTCATTTCTATCCTGAAAAAAACCCAAACCCTAACGAAATCCCAGTCTTCGACGATGAAAGGGAGCCCATGTTCGAGAAACCCTTAACGCCCAGCGACGTCGGTAAGCTGAACCGGCTTGTTATCCCCAAACAGCACGCCGAGAAGTACTTCCCACTCGGCGGTCACTCGGGTGGGTTGCTCATGAGTTTCGAGGACGAGTCAGGCAAGTGTTGGAGTTTCCGTTACTCGTACTGGAACAGCAGCCAGAGCTACGTGTTGACCAAAGGTTGGAGCAGATACGTCAAAGAGAAGAAACTCGATGCTGGTGACATTGTTTTGTTTCAACGACACCGTCTGGATTGTGGTAGGCTGTTTATAGGGTGGAGGATGAGCGGTGCTGCATCGGTGGCCGCAACGGAGCATGGCGGCAAAGCCGGTGGCGATGAGCGGTGGGGTGCTCGGGGATTATATCACGGCCATCCTTATCTTGGGCACATTCAAGGCCTTGGGGCTAATGTGCCATACCAACCCGACCGTCTTCATGCAGGTAATATATATTCTATTCTATTCTATTATATATATATATAGTCATATCGTAAACTCTTATTTCTTTTCTTTATTTTTTATGAATAGATATTGATTCTTATTTATATAATTTATTGGATTACTATAAAATTTGAAAATTATTCGCGCATTGAAATGCGTGAGACACGTTCCAACTATATAGGAGCAATGTGCTTCTATATGGCTGTTTTCTGGAATTTGTTTTTGGTTGAGTTTCTTTGAATTTTTTAATTCCACTGTCATATATATATATTAACTTAATTGTTTTATATTTTAAATATTTATATTATAAAAAGTTATAAAATTAAATTTCAGTAATTTAGTTTTGATGACATATCATTGCCATGTAGAATTATATTATAAATAAACACATCAAATATAAATCTAACTGTGAGTACATTTTGAAGAAAAAATGTACAAGTTTTTTAGTATTATTATTTATGAAATCTGAAAAATGGAAGAGAAATGGAACTTTGAGTATAAAAAAGAGGTTCTATATCTCAAATTTAAACATAAATTAACTAATATTACTTAGTACAAATTAATTTAATTAATTTTTTTATTCAAAAGGGTATTGGAATATGATATTGTATTAAATATATTTTAATCCGTTAGTTATATATTTCAATTAATTATTCAATGATATGTATAGACTTAATGATTGTATCGTGATGGGTGGGATTATTGATAACATGGGAGCATGTGTTTGTTGTGTTAAATATATTTACAGGAACCATGACTCAAAATCAAGGAGATGAGAAACCAAAGAGGCTGCTCCGGCTATTCGGGGTGGACGTCGACGTCGAGTGCCAACTTGATGTCTCCGAACCATCCACATCGGAAAGCTCATCCGTGTTGAGTCAGGGTCTGACCACCCACCTGTTTTACTCCGAGTCTTAAACTTCAGAACTAGACGGCAACTCGGTAAGCAGTGTACATATTCTCATAGGATATTTCATCATCATCATCACCGATTGACCATTACTTAGCCTTGGAATCACTAATTAATCTTAATTAATTAAGAATTAAAAGACAGTTAATAAATTAGTAAAGTAAAATATTGAGTTTGGTTAGGTGTTGCTTCTTCCAATAAGACATATTAACAAAAACCATAATTAGCGAGGTCGTCTAGTTAGCACGTGGCCTAATCCCAATAGTTTAGCTAATAAAGCATGATTAAGTTGCCACGTGGTTTATCTGGGTCCAACTATTTTGTAAAAAGGATAAAATATACAAATGGCCATCCGACTATATGATGTTTTTTGTTGAGTCTCTTAATTAGTAAAAATTTAAAAATGATCACAACTATAGGATGCTATTTTTTAGTCACTTACTATTAAAAGTTATAAAATGATTATTCAACTATTCATATATTTTAAATTCATTTAAATGCTCATGATCGTATAACTTGGACATTAACCTGTTGATTGTGGTATGATAAAGTCATATTTTTAATGATATCTAATGGCACTGTCGTTGCTTTTAAGTATCAGCTCAACAACATAATATTTGAAGTACTGACTTGACAAAATAATATAAACGAATATTCGATTCACAAAATACAACTCAAACGATTATGAATCAAATTTTATTATATCTCAATAAAAATATTTATGTCTAACTTAAACAATCATAATTTTTAATAAAAAATAACAAATTTAAAATATATAAATAAACAAATAACACCTTATAGACTAGGGACAGTTGTGGACTTTACCCTTAAAAAATTCAAAGTAAAAAATATTGTTGGGTGGAAATTGATTAGATTGGCAATGATTAAAACGCGGTCCAAAATAATTGAAATCAACAGGGGGTATGGTCATAACAGTTGGGCACATAATTCTAATTTTGCTGCAAAATAGCTGCTCCATTAAAAGCATTGACGATTACAATGCAATTTTGTTTATACGACTTGTTTTCTTTTCAATGGTTACAGGATAAAGATGATGATGATGTGATATCCCCCACTTGGAAGGTCAAAAGAGTACTGAAATTTATTTATATTTTCTTGGAACAACTCTAGATTTAGGCAACTTTACATGGCAGGGTGAACTGCCCTAGGCAAGGGCGGTGAGTTAACCAAAATATCCAAACAGGGGGCGTTTTCAAGTCTACTTGACAACCAGAATGCGGTAGTGGTTAGAAGTGATAGGTCGTTGAATATCTATACATTTTTGTAAAAATAATACTTTATAAAATTATTTTAAATTTCAAATTTGTTTTTATTTGTATGAAATTAAATTTTATTATTAGTGATCAAATTTCAGAATATGATGATTATTATAATATTTATACTTCATAAAATTTAAAATACAAAATAAAACAAATAATAAATTTAAATATTTAAGAAATTTACTATCCATAAAATTTATTTTGAATGATAAATACTTAATATATTATGGAGATACTAATTAAAATATTTAAATCTATAAAAAACTAAATTGAAAATTTACAAATATCTAGTGGTTCTTGAATACACCAGGCATCAACCTACTCTTCCCCTGTTTTGTGTTTTTCATCCTTGATGTTATCAACTTATCATATTTTGACCCTCTTAGTCTCTAAAAAAATCAAAAAGTAAAGGGGATCATTTTGCTTTTATTGTTGTTCTTTTAAGCACAAAGATCATCTAATCATTCAAGTAATTAATCTTTGAATCTTATTTTTATTATATGAATAAATCAAAAGAAAAAAAAACATCTTTAAATCAAAAGTCTTAATTAGAATCTAAGAAATAGAAAATTTATGATTTGTGTGAAATATGTGGAAGAACCCTCTTGGACAATTTTCATTTTTGTTCATTGGGCTGTAAGATTAGCTTAATTCTCTCCATTATGTGAAGTTGGTGAAAGTTTGGGATTTGGGAAGCTAAAGGTGAGGCCGATGAGGGTTCAGATATTGAGATGATTAGTGAGATTTGGGGATTGAAATGGCCGGTGAAGGTTTCAAGTCTGGATTAAGAATTATGAATTTTATTTTATTCTCTTTAAATTATATACAGTATAAAATATAATTAAAGAAGTCACACTATATTAAAATATTAATAAAATAATTCATATTATCACATCTTGTATGATCTAATAATAGATTGATCAAAACAAAAAACAATTCAAAAAATTAAATGATTAAATTAAAAAAAATTAAACTTAGATGATGAAAATAATAATGAGACAAAAACTCAATGATGAAATTTATAATTTATTATATTTTAATTACTAACCACAACGAAAGTGAATATTAATTTTCGAATATCTATTATATGAATCTATATAACTTTTATGGATGATATATTCAAATGTTAATTATTATTATTATTATATTTTAAAAAATTATTATTTTTCAATGCAGATTCCTAACAAATTCAAATATCCGTAATTAGTTTAGATTTATATTTTAGATGATAGTACTACAATTTAGTGTGAAATAATTTCAACCTCAAGGCAAATTTAGAAATTCAAATTTAATTTTTCCAAAAACTACACACTTGACCCTTTTGGATGTTTTATTGTAAATAATCCATTTACAACTCAAATTTTATGCGTCTTTTTTGAGTTAAATCAAATTTATGAAATTATAGTAATATAGTAAGATAAGGATAAGCATAGGGTTCCATTCTTACCAGAGCCCTATGTTTTCCCACTTTTGTGCCAGTATGTGCATCATTCTCCAGTTCCATATCTGAATTTTTGGAGAGTGATTCAAAAAGTGGTTTAAAATGTGATCAAATATTTAGCAGTTCCATTCCCTATATGTCCCACGCTTCATCATTACTGTGATTAAAACACAAGCGTCTATCTATGGGACAAACTTTAAAATGGTCCATAAACTTCAAAAATGTTCCATCGAATCTTAAAAAATAAAGTATTGTTCCAATCACGTACCTGTGTCTGTTTAACCATCAACGTTAGCTTTAAATACCATCTGGAATATGAGATTGTTCCCTTTTTAAACATCTATAGGTTAATAAATACTTCTAAATGCGTCAGATCCAGATTGTCATTTAACATCAAAGCTCTAGGAACCAAGTTAAGATTTAATCCATAGTTTGAGACATCTGGTGCAATTAACCCTAAAGCTTACGCATAATCATTGAATCAAAACATTTCATAAATGTTCTTAATCATGTACTAATGTAAACAACTCAAAGCAAGCTGATGGATAAGTATAATTTTAAGATACAATCAAATCCATTAACCCCCAAGAGTGCTAATGAGCTTCATTAATCATCCACAGGATTTTAACATGCACGAAGCTTTTGAGAGCCTAAACACCTAAATGAAGCGAAGAGCCTCAGACCTCAATTCAAGTGTATGGAATAATGACTACAGGGTTCTAGCTTGCACGAATATGTTTGAAAGACCTTCCAGGTAAACTAGAAACACTAATACAGGTAGAGGGATTTGGTGATAAGATACACAGATATCTATGCTTTTCTTATATGATTAATCATATAAAGTGTCAACTGATTTTAGGACCTATAAGGATTCAGACGAGAAAGTTACCAATTGACCTCTACTTGAAATGGTCTCTGAAGTTCTAGTGACTCTGCAAGTGGGAGGAACACCAGATATTACTATTGCTGGCATCAGGGAAGAGGCCAATCAAGAGATAGAAGGACACCTGTATCATGGGTTTTTCCAGCAATAATAATCCAAAGCACCATTAAGTACAGTACAATATAGTAAGAACACGAGAATATTTCTTCGTCCCATTTAGCTTTTCCTCTTATCAGGCCTGCTTTTGGAGCTATGTCAACTTCATGTTCAATCCTATTTACATCATCAACATAAGGACCTAATTTTCTCTTACTTAAGCCCTAAGGAACAAAATGAAATCAACAGTGTAATGGAAGCAACATTGACATCAAGCAGGAGCAGAATAATCTCGAAACCAATAACATGTCATCACCAATTTGAAACCTTCCAGATGAATCCCATAAAAGCTTCCTGCTGAAAACTTAAAAGGAAAACCGATGTGATTGGAAGGTTTCAAAGTAAACAATTCATCAGGCAACAACTGGTGAACAATGGCCCTACCAATGGTACCGCTTGACATATCTCTTCCACGATATTAAGAAATAAAAACTTGTATCACACAGTACTGTTTCATCCCATTATTAGTGCAAGCTAAACTGGAATTTCAACTTACCAATATCTAATTCAAGAGCTATATTGCTCCAACTCTTCATTTTTCTTGATGTACCCATGTCTGACACTGGTGTCCAAGACTCGGAGATGAGAATGTTACGTCCAAAGATCTTACAAATACATGGAAAAACTTGAAAAAATCTAAACAATACTTGTATTCGACACTCACAGCCGAGTCTGAATAACATAGCTAGAGCCCCCATTTCCCTGCAGCTATTTATAATGCTCAAGTCATTTTCAAACCTCTCTTTCCTCTATCCTGTGCAATGTACTCCAGACACAAGCTATTGCAAATTTGACACAAATGTTATCCACGTACAAGACTTTCTAGAAAATTAAAAGAATAGTCCAGCAGTCTGCTTAAATTTTAAAAAATATTGCAGACTATTTCAGACAAGCAGATTCATAAGAATGTATCATTCTCATTGCGGAAGGAAAAAAAAAACAAAGAACAGTAAAATACAAGCTTTTTTTCAGGGGTAAAAGCCTACCTAAGGCATTTCTCAGGCTCTGTTTGGTTTACATTTGTGTTTTAGCTATTTTGCAATTAATGAAGGCAAAACAAGTAGTATTGTGGATCCTAAACAGAAAACGCAAACCATTTGTTACTTTATACGAAGAGTATTGTTTCTCTTTTAAAGGCTAGACAAGGTATCCACAGCTATTCAGACTACCTCCACATTTTCTTCAGAATCCACTTCGCTCATCTCCATTTCCTTTACTTTCTCAAGCTGCCTCAAGAGGTCTAAACGTTCAGGTCCATATGTGGATGGTATCTGCCATGAAACAGACTGTTAGCCATTGAGAAATAGCGGTTCAACACTTGATGCAAGACATTAACAAGAAGGATGACACACCAGCGCTGGCACATATCTCTGAATAGCAGCCAACATGGCTGCATGTCCAACAGCAGTAACCTGCAGGCATAATTTTTCCATCACAATAAGACACAATAGATCAATGATAAATTGAATTGTAAATAAAAGATGAAAGGAAAGGTAACATACGAGCTGTAAGTTGTTCTAATCATGTAGAGGTATGAAACTACTATTTTTCAATTCTCTAATAATTTAAGGCTCGCTCGACATTACTTGCCTGATATACCCAGCATGCTGGATGTTTATGCTATGATTCTCTATTTTGGATAATGTGGGGGGGAGATAGGAAGGGAAAAACTTAATTTAAAGAAGCTTGTAGGTGTTAAAGATACCTTACATGACTTCCAGATGAAATTATAGGAGTATTCTCTCTAAACTTAATTTTAAACCCCCAACTCTTGTGGTCAAATTATTAGCAAAAGTCTTCCTTTTGTGTTTATTGATCCAAGATTGGTGATTTAAGTAGAAGTCCCATGATAGATACGTTATGTGCATAAGAAAAACAGAAATGATGGATCAGCAATGAATTGGCATAGACAGTTGCCAGAATGATGTATTATTTTAACTTACAGGAAGAAGCATCAAAACACTAATAGGAATGACTGATGCTAAGTCGGTTAGAGTTCTCCGAAGAGCTCTCTTTTCTTTTTCCGCTAATTCATCCCCTATCAGGGCCCTTCTAAGCAACTCTGTTGCAGCAGCAACATCAATAGCTAGAAGCTGAGTTCCTTGCAAGACATCCTGTTTATTGGTAAATAACTCAGATGACAGGATTCATGAGAAAACCATAGATGACTTCTTGAAGTGGTGATTGTATACATCACAAATTAGTCAGACGATGACATTGATGAACAGTCTAAAACAACCAATAAAAATCATCCAACACAATGACCTTACCAGGGGATCTTAAAAATCTAGTTCATAATTCTTCTCAGGTTTCACAAAAATGGGGAAAATTACATTAGCAAGACAAAAGTTACTTTGCATGCTGTATAACCTACTTCCACATATTTCATATATCAATGTCAACATGATAGTGTACAGATAAAAGTACATAAAGAAGTAAGCACCCTTGCTACTTATAAATAAAGTAGTTGTTTTAGGATGCAGAATCATCAAACGGAACCAGAACCAGAACAGGCAATATAGCTGAAGTTTTTTTTATTAAATAATAACCAAGTACGTTTCAATGGCATCAAGAGTATACAGTTTATAAATTATCGTTATACAGAAAATGAACCATATCTCGAACTTTAACATGCAGAAAGTTCCTCTGGCCTTTAACCAATCTAACTAGCCTTTATCATGGGCAATATACAAAAGTTTTTTCAAGGACTATGAAAGACAAGTTTCAATTAGTCAAACTAAATTTTAACATGAGAATAAAAATTAGTCATTGAAAATAAGAAGGAATTCTCTCGTCCAAAAGTTGGAAGAACACATAAATTAAAGCTAGAGATATCACAGAATGCTAATATACAAACATTATTCGACTTATAGACATCCTCAAGAGACTCATACCGTGCTTGTTTCTTTTATCTTCTCTAATGATTTTTCGATGATACTTTCCTTCTTCTCAGCCTCAACCAATTGAGCACGTCCAACGTCATTAATAGAGCTAGGACAATCAACTGTAACCTTAACATCCTGAACAAATTTGAAAACGGTAAAGCAAATTAAAACATGCAAGAACAATAAAGCCATTCTGAAAGGTCCATGGTTAATATATCATGCATCATCATGTTTCTCATTCTTATAATGGATGGTATCTATTGTGATGAAACTACACAGTTATAACAGTCAATAGATTGAGCTTACCTCCTCATATGCCGACTGATCAGCACTTCTTTTAACACGCTTCTCAAGCTCAATTAGTTCATTCCTTAATTGTTCAAAGCGGTGGATTTCATTTGGTTCTGAATCGCAATTATTGGCATTTGAAGCATTCTGCTCAATAAATTCATTTCCCTGGATGCAATAAAATTGAAAATAGCTTTAATTTACATAAAAAACACAGAGATTTCCAACACCATACTATATGCTTTAGCACCTGGAATATGTATTATCAACTTATCATAATCATACCAATTTTATAACATAGTATGTATTTGACAGTGTATCTAAGAGGTGCTTCCAAACATAATTATTGGTGACAGATTTCTCTTCATATTCTTCACTACCCTCGAACCTTCAGTTACTGATCATGTTCAACCTTCCATACAGTTAAACAACTAAGTTTGATGTACATGTACACAGCTTTATAATATTTTGATTAACAAAACAGAAGTTGAAATCAGGCATTATTTAGCTATTATTCTAACATCTCAACAGTATATCTCCAGAGTTAAAAGGTCCAGTTCTCAAGTCTTTCGGAATTAGAGCTTGAGGCCAGATCACTAGACCAACAGGAGAATAGATGAAAGGCAAATCTGATACTAAAAGGATCAAATGCTACCAACAAGTGTAAAATGCTACTTGTGAGACAGGTTATACCGATTTCTCTATAGCTGATAACTCTGCGCCGGGCTTCCTGGATGAAGGGTGTAAGAAGCTCCATAATCCACGATGCTTATTGACAACTCTAATGAAAAAGACAAATAAAATAAAGAGGCATGGTATGGTTGAACTAGAATTAACAATAAGTTCCATGAATTCCATGAAAGCAGCTAAAAACTGTAGTCTACACTCTACAGCTGAAGTTGCTACCTGTTGCTTCTATCATTTGTTAAAGTTTTTGTTCTAGGATATTCTTGCTGCTCACAAAAAGAGGACTGGGAAGTATCATCACCAGCTTCCTGAATGAAAGTAATGAATTTACATAATTTCAAACTAAGCTCACAAACATTTTTTATAATGTGTAAGATGAAAAATCAAGGCATGGACTGCCACGTAAAGAAAGTAAAACACCCGATCAAGGAAGGGGGGACCATAATTTCAATTTGAACTAAACTATTTATATTGTTGCAAAATCAACCATGCAATTTACAAAAAAGAAAAGAAAAAAAGAAGGAAAAGTCACTCATGTAGTCTATGGTTTATGTAGTGCTGATCAGCAACTAACACCACGAAATTAATTACACTAATTTGCAAAACATACATATCACAATTTTCTTTGATATCAATTTTCTTGGCCATGTTCCAAGTGAACTTTTATTGAAGCAAAAGGCAAAAATTTATCTTCTACATGTGGCACTGAAAAGCCAGAGCCATCTTGCCATTACGGTACTAATTACATAGTGAAGGCAGTACTAGAATATATGGTATTTAACAAAATTAAGAATAATAGAAAAAGAGGTAGGAGGGGTAGGAAGACACCTGTCGAAGAAAAGCTTCTTTTGCTCGGAAAGAAGCCTCCAAAAATTCAGCCTCTTTCTTTAGTTTCCTTATTTTCTCAAGGTCGGAACAAGCTGCTTGTAATTGTTCTTTCCCGGAGTAAGAACTTGAAAAATGCAACTCTTGAAGCAAGTTTTCCAGTCTTTTCAGAGCTTCTTCAACACTCTCCAATGCCTGAAACCAACATGATGCCACTGCATAGTTAGAACCATAAAACAAGTTCAAAATGAGAGTTAAGACACATATATAGACTGTGGCAAATATGAGAGCAAGAATTCTATCCATACAAGCATAACAGAAGAGCTGCAGCAAGATGAGAACGGAGAAAGCAATTATGTCTTTCATATTAAACATGTGCTAAATCCTTCCAGTATAAATCAAGAAAGAAGTATGACCATAGTTATAACTTATAAGGTAATGGGGAATCTAATAATCAGTGCCGGACATTATACTGCAGTAAAGTTGATTTATTGATGATAAAGTAAGCTTTGTAGCAACTACTATCCTATATGATTGCAATTTTCAACCTTTATGATTCTAGTGTATATTTCTGACGATTCTTCAACTTTCAAGGACTCCTACTTTTGCTATGCATAAAACATTTTATCATTTGCTTGCTCCCTCAAAGATCACATGTATTATGGAAAACAAACCAAGTAATCAGCCAATCCAACAATACAGTTGAACAACAGAATCTAGTGCACACAGAAGCCAGACAAAGAAAAAGAATGGGTTGTTGACATTCATTCAAGAATTTTGCAAGCAAAAGCTATGACACCCTAGGTTTCATGAGAAAAAGACGGAAGCATTAACAACAGATCTGCCTAAAGAATATGAACAGAAAAATAGGCCCCACCGTGACTTAAATGCACACCATTAGTATCAGCATAGTCAAAGAAGCTAGTTCCAAAGTCCAAACTACATAGGAAAAAAGGGGAAACCTTATCAAATGAATCTGACTCCTTCTCAATGACTAATCCAGCCCCACCAACAGGTCTAGTCTCAACCATTTCCCTTCTGCATCACATTTCCAGCAAGTATAATCACAGATTAGAAATCATTATATATAAAGTAGTAAATTACCACTATCAAGGAAATGCAACACTTGTATGGCATGAGACAGACAATAGTAGAGGTTTTCAATATAGCAATCATGCATCTACTTGAATTCAAAAGTGCATGCAAATGTGTGAGAGAGAAAAAAGGGGATTTCGAGAGAGAGAGAGAGAGAGAGAGAGAGAGAGAGACTAAAGTTAAGCATCCGCAACTTACAATGGTATCCTGAGTTCTTTCATGCACATCATCAAATTGTTGTGCCTAAACAATAAAGATAACAACATTTTGCTCAAATCACACAACAGAGATCAATATAAACTGGCTATCAACTAATCAACCGTAAACTCGCTTTACCCTCTAGACAGGAACCTTGCAGCCTTAACACTAGATGGATTTTCCAGCCATCTACTATATTTAATAAAGCTCTGCATCCAATGAGAACAAACATCCAACACTTCAGGAATAGCTTTAGTATTAGGAGGACCTTCTTGTCTACTTTTATGTCCGTGAGACTGTTTTGATGTGCTGGCAATGCCAGGATAAAAAGGAAGCCAATCTAGCTCCTCGCATACAACCTAATGGATTAAAGACAGGGTCAGATATTTTCAAAAGGTAATAACCAAAAAAATCATGCATGCTGACCTCAACATAGAGCTGATAAGAACTTATTGATGATAGTTGGGGGTAGTACAGTACGCTGCCACCTATAAGATACCTACAAGAAAAGGACGTGGAATTAAATTCACAAATAAATCATAGGAACGAACGCATCATAATAGAGGAGAAGGTTAATGTATTCAAAGATACCTAATGAAGCTTTCAATGGGATCATCTATAGCATCATATCCATTTGCATATAAAAAAGCCTGTGTATTTCTGCCTAGGGCAATAAAGAATCCAAAAATGGTCAAATCCCTTTCCAATACCTGCAAGGAATTAGTACAACTTTCAATGAACCTTGATCAAAACAAAAGTAGAGTTTGTATGCAATATGTCGCTGTTCTCCAGCATAAATTATTATTTTTCCTCCAATTATCATAATTTCACAATTTATCCATCCTATTCTAAAAGGATGTGGGAAAGCCCAAAACATCTTGTAAACAAATTCATCCCCAAGATACGAACTTGTTAGATTATTTTATAACCTTTGGCCAGGATGCTAATTTCAGGGGATGAAAAAGAAACAGGGTGTCTCAAAAAGTAAACAAATCATAAACTGTCACTCCAAACCTCAATGCTTTCAGATGTTGTTAGCCTCGACCATATTTTCTCTCTATCTATAGCTCTCAGCAGCTGCTTCTGTACAAGATCGACCCAGAAAATAACCTCCTCTGAATCTTGATCATTTTCCACTCTGCATGCTGCAGCTCGGGGACCAAAATGGACAAGAAATTCTCTGTGTAGCCCAATGTCCTTTATAGATTGATAAACTTGGTGAATTGGAACAAAATCAACCAGCATATCCATAAGTCTACCAGTTAGGTCCAGAATTGTGGAAAAGAACTGGGAACAGGAAATTTTAGCAGGACCAAGTTTTGTGATTGCAGCAACACAAGTCAGTGCAAGCATGAGAAGAGCTCTGTCACTTGCAGTTCCTGCAGATGATAACTTGCCTTTCCCGCCCTAGGAGCAGACTAAAAGAGTCAGAATATTACCACAAGTTTCACTGCTATCAAGCGCTTCATGAGAGGCCCACATGAAGAAGCAAGAGGCGATTACTTACACATCTGTGGCTGCAGTGAATCGAAGGTCTCCTTCAAAATAATTTACAAAGGAGATCACCACAGCTGGAACTTGCTCATTCCAAAACCAGTCATATGCTTCAGGTTGCTTGGCTGATAGCTTCTCCCTGATTAAGCCTTCTAAGGGGGCAGATTGATTCAACAAACTGCATCAACGTGATTATTAGAGGATGATAGAAATGCTAAATGAAAAGAGAAGTAATGTAAACAGTTTTCCAGAGAACTAACTGATTAGAGTATTAGAAACACATAAATGAGCATATTGAAAACAGAGTTTTCTTATGAAAATAGAGAATGGCAGTGAAAGCATAAGCCTCCTTCAGAAAACTTGATAGAACGGAATTTCAAAATTACAACTATAACATAATCTGCCTCTATCATCGAAGCAAAATAAAATACCCCTTAACTACCAAGCATGATCTACTTCACATTTCACAGAACAAAATGATTTCCTTTAGCTATTTTGTTCTGCATAAAAAGCAGGTTACTGTATAACAAGCAGAAGCAGTGGTGGATGCAAGGCTTGTCCAGGGTGGGCACGTGGAATCCAAATTTCTTTATATTAGTTGTTCATTTTACTAATATATATGTGCCCACACTAAAAAATATTTCTGAACCCGCCACTGACCAGAAGAGATTAACTTAAATGTCTAAATCAGTTCCAGACATTATACTGCGGTAAAGTTGATTTATTGATGATAAAGTAAGCTTTGTAGCAACTACTATCCTATATGATTGCAATTTTCAACCTTTATGATTCTAGTGTATATTTCTGACGATTCTTCAACTTTCAAGGACTCCTACTTTTGCTATGCATAAAACATTTTATCATTTGCTTGCTCCCTCAAAGATCAAATGTATTATGGAAAACAAACCAAGTAATCAGCCAATCCGAATTTTATTTGTATCTACCCGACTACCCCATACGAAAACTTTCCATTATAATATAGATGTGCCCACCCTCAAAAATATTTCTGGATCCGCCAATGACCAGAAGAGAGCAACTTTAATGTCTAAATCATTAAGGCCCTGTTGTGACATTGATATTTATAACTTGTAAAGCCAATTGTAACAACATGAACCATATTCAAGTTGGGAAAAGATTTCAAATTTCCTTACTTCAAAAATATCTGAAAAGCATTTACACAAATTGATGCTACTTGTGATAAACATTTAAATACACATAAGTATGTTTATATAAACTTGAACAGGCAACAAAATAGACTATATTTTTGTGTAAAGTAAATACCCTTGAGCTACATGAAATATGAAATATATTCAATGCACTACCTTCTTTGTAAAAAACATATGTATCCCTGTCTCTACTATCACCTTGGGATGCAATCTCGATAGCAGCTTGGAGTAGGGAATACACAGCAGCCTGAAAAAAATGCATGAAATTTTCAGGCTTAATGATACTTAATATAGAAGCATACATACTTTTTGCATCAAATTTAACATATTAATAAAAGCTTAAAGAATGAACCAAGACAAACCTGATAAGAGAGTGTTTTCACCCATGCATTCCTATCTACACCAATCCAGGCAGTTGAAAACCAAGACAATTTTGCTATTGAGCCTTGTTCTTTGATTGATAGCTCAAAAACCCTAGCTGCATCATGTAAAGATTGAACAAGTCCATTACTATAATCTTCACCCACCAGTGATTGGTTAAGCTTGGTCCTTATGCCATCTACGTCTGTACTAGTACTGGTCTGCAAAGTCCCATTGGAAGTTACACCATCTTCAGCTGATGCAAGAGGAAAATGGAGTCCCATCCTTCTTGATTTACGAAAGGCTGAAAAATGTTTCCTATAACCCACTAGTCTGTGATTATCTAATGAAGTCTTCCTTACTAGACATTTCTTCCTCAGATTACCGCAATTTGTCAACATATAACCCGAGCTAGCCATTCTTTTGCAAGAAGCATGGGTTCCACATGAACTCCGCGAAAGACATGGATTTGAAGGCCTGTTAAAACAATAGAACCAGCAAGGCACGAGCGTTTTCACACAGCATTAATAAAAAGAACACTAAGTGTATCATATAACTCATATCTTGTTAACTACAGAGATTCTATAGCATGCATTTTTTTTTAATTTCCTTCCATCCTCCTTCTAAAGGGTTTATACTTTCTAGTTTAATCCATAAATCACAAGCCAGATAACTCCTGGTCTTTGAGTCAATTGAATTGGTAAATACATGATTAGTTGAAACTTATTTCTTTGACTTCAACTTTTTTAGCAATCCTAAATAAAATATTACCAAAAACTTCAAACTTAATACTCATAAAACATCATCTTAATTCATGTAGTGAACCAATAAATTTCAGAAACAATTCACTTAAATATTAAAATTATCCATGAAAACTGAAAAAGCACAATTAAGTTTTTTTTTCCCTAAAAAATAAGCTTCTTAAAACAGCAATGCGGACTGGACTTTTTCTCTTCTTTATATATGTATATCGAGCTGTTTGGCTAGCAAAGGAAACGAAACAATTCACCAGAATCGGACATGAAAAGTTAGGCTTCATTTAGATATTTTCCAGGGGAAACAGTTTAACAAGTACCCTATTTTAATTTTAAACGAAATAATAAAAAATAAAGAAAGTAAACCGCTCAGCCGAAACCAAAAACAAACAATCCGCAAGTGAAAGCAACAAGTTAAAGGGGAGATAAAATAAGAGGAGGAACTTTAAGCACCTCGAAGATACGAAGCTTTGATGATGAAATTTAATCGACATGAACAATTATGAAGGAACCGAAGGGAATACTTTTGGCGTTTGGATTGCGAGAAAAAAGTGCAGGGAAAATTGGTGGGAAAAAATGAGGAGTAATTTTTTTTTGTTGGGGGGGGGGGGGTTGAAAAAGAGAATGTGAGGCTGCGGACGTGCAGTATTGTGATGGACTTTTATTTATTTATTTTCTTTTTTATTCGTCGACGTGCAGAACGAATAATCACAAAACAGGCATCGCCTTCTATTCGTCTTCCGCTTCCTTTCTTGTGAAAATTTAATGGAATCAATTTAGAGCCCAGGAAAATATTGATAATCTATGCAAAATGTAATCTTCAGATTGATTTCCATTTTTTATAAAATTCAGTTTACTTTAATTTAAAGTTTTAAAAATTAATTAATTAAAATTTACTTTGTTTTATTTACTTTTATAAAATAAAATATATTGTATTTATCTGTATTTTAAAATTTTGGTTTAACGAATGTTTAAAGTTTTTTGGCATAATATCAAAAATAGCCCTTAACATTTATTAAAATAGTCTTTTTAGTCCCTATTCTTTTTTTAGAATATTTTAACTCCTAACGTTTCACTTTGGGACGAAAAACTCCATGTATAGATGAAAATTATTAGTTAATACATGATTAATGCTAAAAAATATGAGCTTTTTAGTCTAAAATAAAATTTTGAGGGTTAAAATGTCATAAAAAAAGAATAACGGACAAAGTGATTATTCTATCAAATATTAAAGGCATTTTGCACAAAAATAAAACATTAAAGGTCAAAATACTCTATAAATAAAATAGATGACAAAATAATTTTAATAAATATTTGGAGTTAATTTTATCTTTATGCCAAATTTCTTTTATTAAAATAGGTACATAACATTTTATTTCGTTAGGTCCAACCATCAACTTCCATTGAAAAATTATTATCCAATAAATATTTGACACATTATTTACTTTTTATTTTTACTTTTTAAAAATAAAAATACATATTTTTTTAAATTTTTGTTATCACTTATTCTTGCTCGATCTTTTTTCTCTTTTCAAATCCTAAATGTCATTGTCACCGATCAAATCATTTCGAAAATCATTTAACTAAAATATAATCATCAACCTTCCTCTTACCTTTTTCTCATCACAATCATCTATCTTGCTCTCCATCGTCATTAATACCATTTTCTTCTCCTTGCTTTTTAAATTTCTCACTATCAATTGCAAATCACTAATAAGAAATCCATAATACTATTTAAGGCTCTCAAACTTTAAAAAAAAAAATTAACATCATCCACGAACTTTGTTTGCACACATATAGCTCTTAATAGAGAAAAAATCAATTTAGTTATTTTGACTAATAGAATCAAATGTTGACTGATACAATACTAACGTTGTAATTTACATTTTAAAAGTTTGAGGTCTTATTTAATTTTTAGAAAGACATAAAAATATTTAAAATTTAAAAATATTAAAAAACAAATATAAAATACTAAAAATAAAAATTAAATTACTAAATTCTTTTAAAAATTTAAAAATTAATAAAAAATACTATTATAAATTAAAAATAAAAATATATCACAAACTATAAAATGATAATTATTAATTATTAAAAAATAAAAAATATTAAATATATAAATATTATACCTAATATAAACTTGTAACATATAGTCATAAAAGGCAACTTAATCATATTCATATAATCGAATTAACAAAGCTAGTATGTTTTTAATTTATATATATCAATCATTGCTAAACATGTCATACATTTTTATATCAAACATGTACACAAACTAAACATGATTCATTTATCATATAATCATATCATCAACATTTGTACAAAATATTCCTATTGAATTAGTCGAATTTTACAGATTTTGTATATAAATATATTTAGGAAATATCGTAAGTTATTCATATCAATACACACGTCCATTCATAGTTTGAACAATTTTAAGGGTACATTATATAGTAAGCTAGTATATAAAGGGGCGCTTAAAATTGTCTAAAATATGATTAAATATATGTATTGATACAAATAACTTACGATATTTTTTTAATAACATTTAGATGCAACATTAAGTTTCGACTAATTTAGTAAAAATATTTTGTATAAGTGTTGATGATATGACTGTATGGTAATGAAATCATGTTTAGTATGTATACATGTATAATACAAAAGTGTATGACATCTTTAGTGATTGTTGATATGTATATGAAATTAAAAGTATATTGATTTTATTATTTTAACGATATGAATATTAATTTATGTGTCAATATGTTACATGTGTAATATTACTAATAAAAAAAATTCTTACTAGTAAAGAGTGGAATATTTGATTCCATTACAATAATTGTACTTTCCTCTGAGCACAATAGAATCTCATACGGCCAAACAATGACAATTTAATAACTATAAACGTGCTTTAAGAAAAATAAGAAGAAACAAACATTGGAAATTTTAAGATACATGATTATTAAGTTATAAATTTCCCTGTTCCTTTTGAGAGCAAAACCAGAGAGAAGAATCAACACCATGAGGACCACAACAGTCACGAAGGATGCCACCACAGCTCCGCTCACATTCTGGCAAAAATCACCAAATTGTTGGCAGATGGCTAGCCAGTTTGTGCTAGGATTTCCATTGTGAGCTAAATCCGCCCCGCCAGCCGCCGTGGTCAGAGTCAATGCCATCTACTATATATATATATTCCACCAAAACGTCAGTGTCTTTCTCTATTCATATATATATAAATTAAAGTTTAACGATTTAACGGAGTTGCTTACGGTGACTAAATAATAATAAGAGTCTGGGTGCAACGGCATAAGGGTGGACGATAGTAACTATGGAGAAAGGGAGCGAAAGGACGAGATAGCCGCCGATCAGTGCCATTGCAATGACGAAAAACCTGCATTTATATCTCAGTTTCTTCAGTTAGATAGATTATGTTTTTATATGTATATGGCGTACATGAATGTGGGGAGATCGTCATAACTAGCTTCGAACTGAAAGAACCGAGTGAAGAAAGGAAGAGTTTGATCGCTGGTACCCATGGTGGCTGCAGCAGCAACAGCAGCGGGTATGGCTCCTAGTCTCAAAAGGAAGTCGGCAATGCCCAATCCCTTGTTGAGCCCTCTCTTTTGCTCCATCTGAGACTCGACGAGAGGTGCTTTGCCTTTTTCAACGGCGCTTGACTCTGGGACATCAATGGTCGCATCATCATTGCTCTTCATTTTTTTAAAGTGGATATGACTTAGCTAGCTGAAAGTTGTGTATGAGAAAATGCTTCGTTTGTGGAAAAAACGGCTTAATGGTTGAAGTTTTTATAAGGGGTTCAAATGAGAAAGAAGAGTGCAATAATAGTTTAAGAACATTTAGTGAATTAATCTTTTAAAATATAACATATTGTTATTGAAGTTGGTAGAGAAACCATTGGGTATGATATGGGCTTACATTAGATAGACTTATAAAAGTTATAGTAAAAAGTTAACACATAAGTTCAACGATAAAAAAGAGAATGATGTTTTTTCTAGCGGTATTTATGAATTTAAGCGTGTCTACATGTATATATATATTATCAGTTGATTAAAACAATTAAATAGATACTACTTTATTGTAACATCCGCAATACCGGGTTAGTGACTAAATTGAAAAATTTTAGAATTTGGTGACTAAAGTAGAAGAATGAAATAATTTAATGATTATTGGAAATATATGATGAAGGTTATTTAGTAATTATTAAAGGAAATTAAGGGTAAAATGGTCATTTGACCAGAAAGATTTTTATCTTTCTTTTAAGGTTATAAAACGTGGAAAGGGTGAGAAGAAAAGAAAGATCTGGAGCTTGGGTCATCTCCTTCCTCCTCTATTCCTGTAAGCTCCATGGCAAAGGTAAGTTTAATTTCAGTTGGTTAATTCTTGAGTTTTAAGCTTAGTTTTGATTCTTGGGGTGCTAAGAAAGATTATTTAGAGATTAAAGTAGGTTGAAACTTCAAAATGGATGAGTTATGAAGGATTAAATATGAAGAGTTTTTAAGTGAATTAGTGAAATAGAAGGAGTTAATAGATTTTGAAGTTGAATTTGACTTGTCATATGGAAGAGTAAGAAGTTATAAGTGTTAGAATTAATTTTGGATAATATGGAAAAATTGGTATGATTCTTGAATGCTATGTGGAAGAGTGAATTTTTAAGTTGAAGAGATATTGAATGAAAATTTATTAGTTTAAGTATTTGTATGAAAGTTAGGAATATTAAAGGGAGTGAAGTATGAAGCGTTGAGCTGAAAATGAAGTGATTTTCGAGCTCAAAATGTGATTTCTGGGCAAGGGGAATCGGTACCCATTCAACGGGAACCGATACCCCCTCAAACGAACCAGAATTTACAGAATGTCAAGGGGGAACTGATACCCCCACAGGAGGGAACCGATTCCCCCTAAAGGAAATTTGTAAATATGGGTTTAATAAGTTCGTTTAAGTTGCTAGTATCCAATTACAATGTGTATGTATCTAATTATTGCCTTAAAATGTACATTTATGTAGATTCTGCGCGTAAAGCAATTCCGGAACATTTGGCAAGTAAGATCGATCAAGGGAAAGATAAGAGATTGGAATTAACTAGTGAGGCCAAGATGAGTGCATACTAGTGACATGTAGTATTTAATGGAAATAAGACTTGCGATGAGTCTATTTCCTAGAGTAATATGCATGAAGTCATACACATGATTATGTGTTGGTTATAACTATATGCGATTATATGTATTACATTGATTATATATATGCATGACTAAAGATAATGATATGCTTTGTATATGCTATATGATTTATGTAAAACTTTATTATGTAATAATGGAAGAACATGGAATAAGTTATATGATAAAGTCATAAGAAATGAAATGAACATGAGAGAATAAGATAATCAAGTATAAGTCATATGATGTAGTATAAGTGATTATACGAGAAATGTTAGGAGACTCTAAGAGAATAGTATAAATTCGAGGGCATAAATAAGGATATATAAGTTATATAGGGAAGATTGATAAATTAAAGAAATTATGGTTTATGTATAAAAGTGAAGAGCTACAAAGTTTTATTAAAGAGTATTATGGAAG